TCCTCTTCTTCTCTCCATCTGCAGGACCTGCCACTGCTCCCAACACGAGATTTTCAAGCCCCAACTCTGCAGTCACAGGGCAGTGTGGTGGTCCCAGCGGCTCCTGTTCCCACCAGCAACGTTGGACCTCAATCCTCACAGCCCTCAGTCCTTGTGAAGCCACTCACAGTCAGGGACATCCATGGCCACATTGCCCAGAGACGTCACCCATGGCTTTGACACAATGCTCAGCCCCAAAATCAGCTGGCTGTGGGGAGAGCTGCTTCCCCAGGACCCCCTCACTCCCTTCCCCTTGTATTTACCCGAATGTGTTTACAATTACAGGGAATGCCAGGGAACGCAGAGTGCTGTGGCCAGCGAGTCAGCGTCGGGGCAGTGCGGGCTGGAGGTCAGCACACTGTTTACTTTAATTTCTCTGAGAGCTTTTTGGGAGATTTCCCTCCTCCATTATTAAACTCAGATGAGCCGCTGGGGAGGTTAGGTCGCATGTGGTTCAGGGCACTTTTTCTTTTGTAATTTTTTTTTTTTTTTTGTATTTGCAATGTTTCGCCCTTAACTCTTTCGGGACAAGCTGCCCATCTCAGCACTGGGATACCAAGATGAGCCCATGAGTAGGATGGTGGCTCCTGGGTAAGCTGTGACCTGGGTTGGTGCTGGGGTGCTCAAGGCTTGAAGATGCCAGCATGAGCCCATCTGAGCATTACTGGGAGGTTTAGGTTGGATATCAGGAAAAAAGTTCTATTCCCAGAAGGTGGTGGAGCACTGAACAGGCTTCCCAGGGAATGGTCACAGCCTTAAGGTTGGCAGAGTTCCAGGTGTGTTTGGAAAACGCTCTCAGGGACATGGTGAGATCCTCAGGGTGTTCCTGTGCAGAGGGCACAGGGGCTGCAGGCAGAACCTGAGGAGCAGCAGCACCAGCACTCACCTGCTCCTGCACCCCCAGCAAGGCTGTGCATCCCCAGCCTATCTTGCAGCTTTGAACTCCTTCCCAGCAGAGGGGTCGGGACACGACACGGGGCTGATGTCATGTGGGCACGGGGCCAAGTGCCAGGGCTCCTTCTGGGACCAATTTGGTTCAAAGCCCGTGGCACGCTGCAGTGGTTGGTGGGACGCACGGCAGATGAGAAGCAGACGGGAGATGAGCACAGGGAATGGGGAGCTGGGCCCTGGGATTGAAGGATGATTTTCACCAGGCTCCCATCCCTGGCACGTCCCTGTGACGGTGCCAGGTCTCTGCTGGTGCAAGGTCACAGACGCTCCCCCAGCCAGGACAGGTCCTGAGGCCAGGGAAGGGCACGGCATCCGGGCCCCAGGGAATGGTGCTGGGGGGGCGCTGGTGGAGTAATTGCCAGCATTTTCTGGAGAAGCTCCAGTTGGTCACCCCAGCACCCTTCTCCTTTCCAAGCTCAGGATCCCCAGCTCCAAAACCCCAGTGCGTCAAGTCCTGTGGTCAACCTTCTTAAATAATTTTTAATTTCCTGGAGGGAGAGCTTTTAATTTATTTCTGGAATGAAGAGGGGGAAGGGGAAGATAACTCTGAAGTTCATCACTAAGCCTCCTCCACTTCCAAACCTCCCTTTTCTAACTGTTCCCAAAAGCACCAGCCCTCCATGAGCCCCCATGTCCCCTCTATCCTGTGCCCCAAGCTGGGGTTCTCTGCTCTGGTGCTCCCTGCAGTGTCCCCATAGCCAGGTCCTTGCAGAGAGGGACAACTGGGGCTGAGGAGACACTGGCTTGCAGAGGAATGAAACTGTTTTCACAGGAAGCAGCAAATCCTGCTGGTCTCCATCAGACACAGATTCCCGGGAGCTGGGCTGAACCTGAGCTACACCAGTGCAAAATCCCAGTGAGACACACCCCTAAAAACACTGCTTCTGGATCCCTCTGTGAGCCCAGAACTTCCCCAGCTCTCACCATGGTTGGCACTTGGGGCAGGAACCCCACACCCCCCAAACCAGTGGAGCCAGAGCCAGGGCAGCAGGTTTGCAGCGTGTTTGCAGCAGGCTGCAGCACATCTGCACCTGGGGGGATTCCTGGGGTGAGGACAAGCAAGACTGAGAGAGAAGTAAACCCTGCTCTGTCCTGGAGCCAAACTCCAGTGGCACTGATGGTTTTCTGTTGAAATCTAAACTGGAGATGGAAAAGGTCTGTTTGGGATGTGCCTCTTGATAAACTTGAGAAGGTCCCTGAATGGATCAAAATTCCCTCTGTGGTCTCAGTGACGAAAATTTTACTCAGTTTGAGTTCAGGCCACGATGAGAATGAAGCCCAGAGTAGCACAAAGCAAAGGCTCAGCTGATGGCAAAGGCTGAGCTGAGCTCATTGTGTGCCCAAACTCCTGTTTCTCTCCTGCCCATTTTCAGATGCCTGAGTCAGCTCCTGCCTTTCCTGTGCGACAGGAAGAGTTTGTTCCTTTAATTCCAGGCTTCCCCTGGAGCTGCAGCCTAAGTGTCCCAGTTACAGCTCTTGGTCCTGTCCCTCTGACTGCTCCTCCATGGAGCTGTCCAAGCCTTTGGAGCAGCCAGGAGCAGGAGAGGCTGTCAAGGGGCCTGTCAGGCAGATGAGAAATTAAAACAACTTATTTATCGTTCCTATATTCCACTGCTCCGAATTCTCACCATGTCATGGGGGAACATCTGTTCCCAGCATTTCTCCCCTACATCCCACCTCCAGCAATCCAGAACTTTCAAAAGGATCTTTGTCCACCCTAAAAGCACCTCTATCCCTCCTTCCTCCCCCTCGGGGCAGGCGAGAGGTGCCGATCCCAGCCTGGGCTTGGGCTGCGGAGCGCTTGGGATGTCGGTGCCCTGCTGGTGCCGTATCTATCCCAGAGCTCGAACAGGATGACAGTGAAGGCCACATGGGATGATCCGGCAGGAGATGGGACCATCCCCGCCCGGGGCAGCTCTGTGGGTGATTGGGGAGTATGTGTGTGCCCCCACCGCGGCTCCCAGCCCCACAAAGCTTCTTTATCTCCCGAGACGTTCCCGGTGCTTCATGTGACCCCCGCGCCGGGCGGGGGCTCGTGGGAACTGTTTGATGTTCCTGAGCCTTTTCCTTTCCCAGTGCGGACACCCCGGCTCCGGGTGAGGGGAATAAAGAACCCAGTGAGCACTCAGCTCCGTCCCCATCCCCACGGGGACCTGCTGAGGCTCACGGGACCCACGGGCCGGTGGGAAGGAGCCAGAATGTCCCAATCCAGACACTCTGCCCGTGTGGGAGCGCCCACCAGCACCCACCCAGCGCCAGGCTGTGCGTGCCGGGCTGCTCCGTCTCCTTCTCCCTGACACGGGTGGGAGTTTTCCCCTTTCTCCTGGAAGACAACGGTGGGAGTTAATCGAGGGATGCTGTGTGTGAACATGGACCCATAGGGATACAAACAGTCACGGCTGCAGGGGGCGGGCGGCAGTGGGGGGCACCGGGCAGGATCGGGTGACCCTGAGAGCCCTATCACGCCCCTGGCATCCTTGTTCTCCGCGAACATCCCCTCTTCTCCCGAGCATCCCTGTCCGCCCCCCAGCATCCTTGTCCCCCCAACATCCCTATCCCCCTCGCATCCCTGTCCCCCCGCAACATCCCTGTCCCTCCTCAGCATCCCTGTCTCCCTCCAGCATCCCTGTCTCCCTCCAGCAGCCCCGCCGGCGCCGTCGGAAGTGCTGCCGTGACACCTCCCCACGCGGGGCCGCTTCCGCTCCCGCTCCCACCCGCGGCGGCGGCGGCGGCGGCGGCGGCGGCGGCGGCGGCGCACGGAGCCCGGGCCGGGAGCGGGGCTGGAGCGGGGCTGGAGCGGGGCTGGAGCGGGGCGGTGAGTGCTCGGGGCCGGGCGGGCGGGGGGAGCGGAGCGGAGCCTCCCGGGGGTCGCGGCTCCCGGGGGTCTCGGCCCGCCCCTGGCCGGGCTGCGGGTTCAGGGGGGCTCTGCGGGGGCAGAGGGATCCCCCCGCGGGGGCTGGGGCCCGGGAGGCTCTGCGAGGGCTCTGCGGAGGCTCTGCAGGGCAGGGATGCTCCCCGGCTCGGCCCCTCCTGCCCGCTCATCCCCCCGGCAGAGCAGCCTGGCCCCGCGCCTGCTCCTACGGGGTGCAGCTCTTCTGTGGGGTGCAGCGGTTTTTTGGGGGTGTCACCCAGCCGTGGACCGAGCAGATGGCAGTGCGGGGGGCTGCGGGTTGGGGGTCCTGGCGTTCTAGGCCTCTGGCAGCACCCTGAGCTGGGCACGGGCTCCTGCACCCCTCCCTGCTGCCCCTCTGCTGGCCGGTGTCAGACCGGGACACCCGATGGATTCTTCCTGCGATTCCCGTGCCTGGCAAGGACCGCACGGATAACCTTTCCTTTTCTGGGCCAGTCTGTTCCCAGTCCTGCAGAGAAGGAAGGCCAGTTGGTCACCAGTTTGGCCAGCCCCCCCATCCCGATGCAGGGCTGATGGCAGAGGCTGAGCAGAGGAGCCCAGGCAATCTCAGCTGCTGAATGACATTTATTGCTGTTGGGAAAGCATTACCTTCCAAGCACACCTTTACCAGCATGGAATTAATTGCATCAGTCATAGCCCAAATGCTGCCAGCAGCGTGTGCAGCTGCGTGCCTGTGCCCCGTGATGCCCTTTGGCATCACCCAAGGGATGCTGCAGGAACATGGGCTTGGACTGGAGCTCTCAGGGAAGACAGATGGGATAGGAGGTGGCTCCTTGAGCTTCTGAATCAGGTGGGAAGATGCCCTTGGATGGGTGGCATCCCTACCTATGGCAAGGGGTGGGAACGAAAGGAGTTTTAAGGTCTCTTCCAACCCAATCCGTTCCATGATTATATAATGTTGCATGGGGACACGCTGAGAGCAGCAGTCAAACCCCAGGAATGCTGACCCCATGATAGGTCCAGTACCTTTAAAGAGGTAAATAAAGTTAAGAGCGTGTTTTTCCCCACTGTAGCTGTCCTGAGCTCTGGCTGTGCCAGCCCAGGTGCCCACAGGCGTGTCACAGCTCCGTGTCTCTCTTGCAGGCAGGACACCGGCGAGATGTTTGCTGTCTGCCCGGCAAACGCCCCATTCCGGCAGGGCCGGGGAGGGCCAGCGTCGGGCACGGCCATCCCAGGGGCGGGACATGGGCCGGACTCCAACTCCAACTTCGTGGGAGAGGTGTGTGACAGCAATGAGAACTGGAGCCAGCCAGCGCCGGGGTCCCCGCCGGAGGAGGGCTCCAGCCGGAGCGAAAACACCACAAATCCGTCTGATAATCTGCTGTTATTAATGCAGAGACAGATGGTCCAGGGCCGGCTTAGGGACACCGCCCCGGGCCTGGGCGACACGCACCCCGAGCAGGGGGTGCGCAGCCCCCCCGAGGGAGCCGAGGTCAGCGGGGCAGGGGGACAAAACAATGCCGAGGAGGCGGCCGGGGGATGTGTCAAACCCCCGAGCTCCCCTGCAGAGGACAACGGCTACGCCAGCAGCTCCCTCAGCATCGACAGCCCCGACAGCACCTGCAGCAACACCTGGGACCCTCCTGCCTCTGCCCCCCGAGCCGGGAGCCCCCCTGAGGCAGGACCAGCTGAGCCGGAGCTGGGGACCCTCTTCCCGGTGCTGGCAGAGGCTGTGCAGCACCTCCAGGAGAAGGAGCGCTTCAAGGAGCAGGAGAAGGAGAAGCACCACATCCAGCTGGTGATGTACCGGCGCCTGGCCCTGCTGCGCTGGATCCACGGCCTGCAGCAGAAGGTTGTGGACCAGCAGAACCGGTTGCAGGAGAGTTTCGACACCATCCTGGATAATCGCAAGGAGCTCATCCGCTGCATGCAGCAGGGTCCAGCCTGCATTGCTGCTGCAGCCTCCCCTGGTCCCTGAGGTGCCACCAGTGCAGCCCAGCCCAGCCCTCACCCTCCGGATGGTGTGGCATTGGCTGGCAGCATCTCCATCCTGTGCCAAGCGCTCACAGGGCCCCTGGTGCCCACCCTGCCCTTCCCATCTCTCTCCAACGCAGCCAAGAGTCCCCAAAGCGTTCATCTCCATTATCCCTCTGCACTGGAATTGGTTTTGTCCTGCACCCAGGTCCGGGTTGGCACTGGGCTGGCTCGACCTCAGGATCTTGGGGTTTGCTGAGCCCAAGGTGAGCAGGCTCATCTTTAAACCTAATCTAGTCTGTTGTTGAGCCTGGCTTAGCCACACCAGTGCCAGGATTGCTGTGCTGGAGCTGCAGGGCAGTGAGGGCCTCAGGGCAATAAAGCTTATAAACCTCCCTGGGCAAAGCATTTCCAGCATGTGCTTCATCCCCACATCCCACCTGCACCGGAGTGTCCCTGCAGCCACAGCCCAGCCCCTGGTAAACACTGGTTTTTGGTGAGAGTGAAGTGTCCTGGGCTGTAAGAGAGAAAAGTCATTGTGAAAAGTAATTTAAGTTAAATGATCCAACACCAATACATGTTTTTAATGTCAGTATTAGAGAAAAGTTAATGTAAATCTGTATGTGTGTATCTGTCTGCTGTGGGCAATGCTCTCACTCAGTGCATGATCCCAAAGCTTCTCATGAACTTGTGGTGTTGGTATTTATATTAATTTATCAGTTGAGAGAAAAGAGAGTCTTTTTTTTGAATCTGCATTTTATCCAGCAAGAGCTGTACACAGAACTCCCAGAGATGGAAAAGGAGCTGCTGTGTGTTTTGCTATGCTTTGCTGTGTATCCATAGGACCCATATTCCATTGAAGTGCTCATGTGGAGGAGCAGCAGTGGGCAGTGAGGGCTCAGCCAGAGGGGTCTGCATTCCCCGTTCTGCCCTGGTTGCCAAGCAAGGCTGGGCACTGATTCCACTTCTCATCTGCAAAGGAGGGTGATGAGGGATTCCAGAGCTGCCGTGTTCCTCCCAACTAAACTGACATCGGAGGAGCCACTTCACCAGGACCCCAGGGAACAGCAGAATCTGGCAGCCTGGTGAGATCCTGGCACCCACCACCCACCAGATGCTCCTGGACTCTGGATAAACAGCTATGGTCAAGCCCACCAGTGACCCACGGCCAGGGGCAGCACCAGCCTCCTCCCAGGCTCTGCTCCCCCTGGGGCTGCTGCCAGTTGGGGAAGTGAGGAGATCCACAAAAATCCTCTTCCAAAAAGGACGTTTTGGTGGCAAAGGGTGCACTCAGCTCAAAGCAACCTGTGCCAGCGCTGGAGGATTCTGGCAGCTTCCCACAAGGCTCATGCTGCCCTCACCTCCCTTCTGCTCTCTCGTGTCCAGCGCCTGCTGCCTCTGTCGTATCGTGATCGTGGGCATGTTGCACACCTAATAAAAGCCTTGGAGCTGAAGGAGCCGAGCCCCAGCTGGATTTGTTCCTTTCTTTCCCTTCCCATGCCTGCCGGGCTGGGAGCAGCCGCCCTGTGCTGGCTGCAGTGGCTGGAGCGTGGGCAGGCGGGACCGTGGGTGAATGGCAGGGCAAGGGCACAGATCTTGGCACCTTCCTCCCATCCCTGCATCCCTGGGCATGCTGGTCTGCTGGGCCAGCAACGCTGTGCCAGCGCTGGCAGTTCATCCAGGCTCAATTTTGAAAAGTTTTTTAAACACCGGTGTGTGTGTCCCTCTCCCCCATGGGACAGCAGGAGCCGGTGCTGGGGCGCAGTCTGAGTGCAGGATTTACCTTCTGCCCCAGGAGAACGTGACTGGAACCGGGGGGACTGGATTCCCGGATTCCTGGCACCCTGCCCTGCGGCGCTGCTCGTGGGGAGGGCTGGGGGCAGCTCTGGGTGATGGGGCTGGCAGATAACAACACCTGAGTGTTGACCCAAAGGTGACTTTGCCTCAGGCTTCACAGAGATTAACTAGAGATGAAAAACCGAGGCTGTAGCAGCCCTTTGAACCCTCTCTCACCTTTCCCCCCACCCCTTCCTGCTTCTCCTTTCCAGCCTCTGAGTCTGTGGGAATCCAGGGATGCAATTCAGGGATCCATGTACAGACACAGCAAGGCATGAAGGGCAGAGTGGCCACATTTTTCCATCCTCATCCATGCCCTGCAGCCAGGGCTGCTGGAAGGTTTGTCCAAGCCCTCGGGAGTTCCACAGGATGTGGGTGCTCCTCTCTGAGCCCGTTTCTCACCTCATCCACTTTCCATGGATCCCGTGCTCCAGCAGGTTTGGGGGAACGTGAGCCCTCCCAGCCCCGCAGCGAGACTGAGAGATTCTCTGTTTATCTTGGTCAAATGCTTTACACAAATAATTATTTCCAAGGTAAATATTGTGAAAATCCAGATTATTTGCTCAAGAAATGAAAGAATAACTGCGGGGGCACATCAAAGAGGTGGATCTGCTCTGGCAACAAGAGGCTTCCTCCCTGGTTATTGGGAGCCCATGCTCCTGCCCCAGGACCTGGCTGGAGATGGCCAGAACTGATCTGCAAAATCAACTTCAGACAGAGCTTTTCCACCCCCAGCTCCCGTGCCCCAAATGAGATTTGGGAATTAATTAAAAACCTGACCAATTCCGGGGGGAAAAACACTAAAGACACAGAACACTGCAGGGTTGAGCCCAGGCCAGCTTGGGGGGCAGAGGTCCCCACCCCTCAGGACACTCTGACCCTACATCCCGTGCTCAGCCCCCTCTGGGTGCAGTTCAGGTGGGATGGGTGGCACAGGCAGGTACCAGCACGGGCCTGGGACAGGGATGTGACCCAGGACTCCATGCCAGGGATTTCCCCAACCCTCCATAAAGGGGCTGAATTCTCACCTCACAGAGGGATTAACTTGGCTCTCAGCCCCAAACACCCCCAGGTCAGTGGGAATGCCACCAGCAGGATCTGGATCCAGCCATTGGTCTGAACAGAAGCCTGGAGCCACTTTGGGGCTCCCTCCCAGCATGGGGGGATCTGAGCTATGGACCCCACGGCATCCAAGCCTGAATTCCCGTGCCTGACCCGCGGCCCCTCTGGTTTTAAGGCCTCCTCTGAAAGTTTATTATTACTATTATATCAAATCCCTGTGACGCTGGGCCGGTTTTACTGCACAAAGCGAGGTTTGGCAAACGTTGCCTTGCTTTGAAAGTTAAAATAATGGCATTAAACCAAAATCAAGTATTTATGAAGCTTTGGAGGGAAATATTTTACCTTGTAATTGGAATCCACGCTAACCCTTTCCAGTATTTTGTGGGCTTATAAAAAAGTCTTTAAAAATAAAATTGAATGATGTGGTAACTGATGCAATGAAAGTACAAAAGAAAATTAATCATCTCAGGCCATTATCCAGAGATCCAGAATGGAACACACTTAAAGCATCCCAGGATCCCTTGTTTATTGCATCTCAAAGACTTCCAGATCCCACATGTTTGTTTTGCAGTGGGAAAAGGGCTTTCCTTGCTCTAAGCTGGGAAGATGAGCACAGCCAGGGCTGCTCCCCTCACCCCAAATGTCACATCCAGCATGGTGAGGGGTCCCACCCCCCTGGGCACCCCATGTCCCACCATCACTGTCCTTCCCAGGCTGCTCCCTGGGGCAGGGAGGAGTGAGGCTGCCAGGAGAGATGAGCTCAGCCCTTATAGGATCCATATGTGCCACCGTGCTGGGAGCACCTGCCACTGCCAGGGAGGTGCAGGAGGGTGCTGTGGAGCAGGGGGGCTCTGTCCTGCTGCTCCAGTCTCTCCACAAAGAGATCCTCTGTGTCCATCCAGGCTCCTTTTTCCTGCAGCCCTGAGTAAGTGTCACTGACCAGCGGGAACTGGAGGGCTGGAGGCAAATCCTGGGAGTCCAAGTGTGGCCCTGAGCCTTGGTGCATCCCTCCTGTTCCAGCGGCATCCACTGGGACAGAACAGGATTTTTCAGGCTTTTCTCACTCCCTGATGTTTTACATGTCATTTCAACTGCCTCACACTGGCAGAATAAATAGAGAAGAAACACAGTCACCTCCTGCTTGAAACAGAGCAGAGCAGCACTAGTGCCAAGAGCTCCGAGTGGACAAAGTGGGAGGCTGGATTTGGAATACCAGGATCTTCCTCCCACTTTGCACTGCTGAGGTGTCAGGACACATTGCAAATCCTGACACCCTTGCACGGTATTTCTAAAACCTTGGAATGTGTTAAAATCTGGGTATCATCCCAGACTGATCTGCAGCCGAAAAACTGGAGCACCCCTGCCCATCCACAGCCAGAACTGGACCACGCCGGGATGTGACCAGCACAGCCCAGCTCAGTGTGAGCATCCCATCCATCCCTGGCTTGGATAGTTCTTTTTCCTGGACCCGTTTCCTGCTCGTCCTTTCCAGCGGCGTTGGGATGGGCGGGACCCCAAGTGCCGGGCTCTGCCGTGGTATCTGATGGAAACGCAGTTTGAGCCTCCCTTCTTTAATGATTCCCTTTGAAATGTTGTTGCTTCCGCACATCCCCCTTCGGGGTAGAATATTAAGCAAGAGCAACTCGGCTGGAAATTCAGATTGTTTTTGTGTCTGTTTTCATTTACATTTTAATGACAGAGGAATCGTAGCAATCGGGCTGTTTGCAGCAGGGCCAGGGAAAGAGGGAAAAATCACCTGCCACCACCTCACCTTTGCCCTCTGTAAACAGCACTAGGAGCTAGGAACCACCAGCTTTTGGCATGAAGGGTTTCTTTTTCTCTTTCTTCTGCCCAGGCAGGTGGGATTTAAGTCAGAAATGGGCTCTTGGACCCCTTGCAGGGGCTTTGCTCAGGTGCAGCATCAAGACATGGGTGCACCGGGTGTCTTGGTGCTGGGGAAGGGGATGTGGTGTGAAGGAGTGAGCAGATGGATGCTGTTCATTTGGGATGGTTGGGTGCTGAGGCCAAGGGTGCTGGTGCTGCCCCAGGAGCTCGCTGCATCTGCAGGAGGAGGGGAAATCAGATATCATTGTCTGCTTTGGACAGAGGTGGGGAAGA